TTGGAATTAGCCAAAAGGACAATATTAAATATTGTATTACAATCGCATGTGTGTCAAGCAACAAAACCCAAGCTGTTTGAAACTACATCATGCTTGGACCCAAGCAAATTAAATTAAGTGCCAAGCGCATCTCCAAGATAAAAACAATGAGCTTCCAAGATAAAATGCACAATTTGTCAGCTGCCTTGTCTGCAAAGTGTTCTACTTTTTAATGTCACCTCTCTATAAAGTTGTGTTTCATTTGAACTCTCACACAACCATCCAGGTGCTCCAGATGATAGGGAATGTAATCTATTCTCCCTCTTATGTACATTCAGCCTTCGGAAATCCAGGGTTAAAGATTTACCCATTGAATATTGCCCTTCTTCCTCCCTCTCCCCCAATCACACATACTAAAAGGTGAGACATTCCCCTTCCCCCACTTTTTTATGGTAAACCTCCTAAATGGGCAAGGGGGTTGACTTGCAAAGCAGCGAGATGTCACCCACACTAAGTGTTAGAACAAGATATCACAGGATGAAATCATCCACCGAAATGTATGGGCTGAACTGCAGCCAAAGCTTTAGAGGACTAAACGAGTTTAGACTTCTTCAAGTCTGCCCTGCTTGAGTGTGTGTGTGTGTGTGTGTCTTATGTGTGTGAGAACTTTTCCATTATTCCTGCAGGAAATGATCCGTGCCTCAAGAGAAAAGGGCATTTCCGAAGCCCGGGTCTTCAAAACATTCTAATCCATTTCTTCATTGCGTAAATACAGTTCATAAAACACGTTGGTGTGCTTTCTCCGCATGGCAAATTATACACTTTCTGTGCTGCTCTTTCACAATCCTTCTGTAATTGATCCCGGCTTGATCATTTGGCAGCTGATGAGGACGGGGGCTAGTTTTCAAAGCGCCCCCACCCACCGCCAGACAAAAGAAAGCACAAAGAAATTTGCACGGATTGCTAATCCTTTAGCTGCTTTCTCTCCCTCTTCCAAAACCAGGGCTGGCAGTGGCTGGCTTGCTTGTTCTCTCTCTCTCTCTCTCTGGCTGCCTGAGCAAGCAGAAAAGCATCACTAGCCAAGAGGAGGGAGGCTGGAGGGGAGGCGCAAGGGAGGCGACGTCATCCCGAAGGCAGGACTGCAGCATCTCCGGACCCGCCTGTTAGCAAGTGAGACGGCAGCCAACCACAGCCTGCGTCCAACCCAAAATGGCCTTTGAACTCTCCACCAACTTCCTGCTGAGGGTTTTTTTTTTTCAAAAAAAAAAAAAAAAGTACACAGTGCAATGCAGTATGTGTCTGTCAGCCTCTGCGGCACAAAGGAACAGCCATTTTGTGACAATCCAGCCCTGCAGTGAAAATGCCTAATGCTTTTTTTCCTTTTTGTTCTCCTCCATTCTCATTCTCCACTGCCCTGAGAGAGAAACAGCTGGCATCGGGCAGAACGTCAGCAATCCTCAATTCTCCAAACCTCACCCTCTTCCTCCTCCTCGTGCCTGCCTTGGTCTTCGCCTCCCGCTTTAAATAATCCTCTCCTTTGTGCTGCAAGGGTTGCTTCATAAAATGGCTGCCACTGGCTGAGCATTTAGTGGGAGCCAGGGCTGCGTGAATGTGAAGGTGGCAGAGGAAAGGGCTTGTAGAAGACTACCCCAAGGACCTCAATTGGGAGACAAGCATGCATTTAGCAGCCATTGTCTCAAGGCATCGTTCCACAATGGGTGGAGAAGCAGCCAAAAACAGAAGACCTTATCCTTGATATAACCCGAAGGGAAGAGTTCTTATCATCTTATGCTTGGCCCAATCCAAGGCATCTGACCCAACACTGTTTATTATGGCATAGGCCAGGTCAGTCATGCTAACTGCAAATCCATACCGAATTCAGACTTAAGAGGTGAAAAAATATGTTTTGGGGTGAGAATGAGAATGCAGTCGGAGGGGAGGGAGGAATGCTTGAATACAATCTCTAGTCCAAACTTTTACAGAAATATGGAGAAGCCAGTACTTGCAATATCTGAGGTTTATATATTTCTAGCAGAAGCTCCTTATTTACAGAACCCCTTTGCTATGACAATACATGTGGGCATCCTTGTCCTTGCTTTTTGGAGGTGAAAAATCTTCGTTTTAAGAAGAGCTTTGATTAACGCACCAAGACGCAGCATGCTCACAAGCCCAGCCCATTGGGGGTGCGCCCCTTGCACGGGCTGCACAAATAATTTAAAATTTTAATTCAGGGTTGCCTTTCTGTTCTTCAACGTTACCATGTTTCCATTGTGCATTTTATACTGTAACCCTCTCAGAAAAAGCACTGCTAGAAAGTGATGTAGAAATGCAAATCCATTAATGGTACAAATGTATTCGTGTGGCTTTAATGAAGCATCCTAAAAACAGCTCCTTTTGAGTGGGGGCTTTGCATCCTTTTTTTAAAGGACTTGGTACATTCCATCTTGAACATGAATTCTGTTTTAGAAGAAAAGCAATGGCATTTTTTTTAATAAACTCAACATCCTTGGTGGACTATCTCAGATGTTTCGCTTGCAACACCTAAAGTATCTTTCTGCCATATTTAAACTTAAGTGAAAAGGCTTGGTCATGGCTCTTGTTATTTAAAATTAACTTTTTTTCTAATCCTGGAAGATTGTTTTAAATAAAACAATCTTCCAGGATTAGAAAAAAAAAGAGTTAATTTTGACCATTTGTAACATACCAGGTTGTAGATCAGAGGTGTCAAACTCACAAGACACATTGTGATCACGTGACGTATCCCAACTTTTTCCCCCCTTCGCTAAACCGGGGGTGGACGTGGCCAGCACGTGATGCATGTGGCTTGGAGGGGGGGAGACATGCGAGTTTGACACCCCTGTTGTAGATGAACATGGATGTGAAGCTCACTTCAGCAAGCTATATTTTTTTCCCATTAGTCCTATTTGAATAATATGGGGTAATTCCAGGCACCATTAGCCAGAGTTATCCTTTGAAGCTGTGAAATGGGGGAGGGGGGAGGTTAATGAAACTTTTACTTCGATAAAGCATACCTGATCTAAATACTCTCAGGAAGAATGGCTTCTTTGGACAATGGATGTTTGTGTTTATAAGCAAATGGGAGGCACTTAGAATGGCATTTTTTGACAGTGAGGAAGAAAAAGTTTTTCCCCCTAAAATTTACCATTTGTTACACCCATCTTTTAAGTGACTCTGGCTCCCACCCAACTTCACACCCATCTCAAACAAATGATGTCACAAATGGATTAGGTGCTTACAGGCAGGAAGTTTCCAATGCAATGTACACAGAACTTCCAGGATGTCTTGATAAAACAATTTCTTCACAAACACAACTTTTAACTTCCCCCACCCCCTAAAAAAAAAAAAGGTTCATTTTACACAGTCTGAAGAGTAGTTGCAGTTCGGAAAACAAGCTTTACAACAGAAACTTTCAAGCAAGGCTGAGTTATGCTTTCACAGTTCATGTGAACTGTGTGCTGCTAATATAATGAGTGTCTTATTTTAATTCAGTTGGGTGTTAACATTTTGCTTGATGTAGTACTCCTTTATTACCAAGAAAGCAAAACTTCAAGTGTGGATGCTATGCAAATAATATACCCAAGAGAATAGAGGGGGGGGAGGGAGAAAGGTAAAAGGGCTGGTTAAATTAATCTCTTTTCATTCAACTCAGTCCTGTTGTTTACAATAGATAGCTGTTCTCATCAGTGTTGAATATCTTCCTTCAATTTGTAAAAAAATAATAATAATAATTATGTTCTTTTAATGTAGATATTGGCATGCTAATTTCAAAACCAACTTTTTAACAATGTCAGCAATTTGACTTTTACCACTGTCTTTTGGAGTTGAGCTTCAAAGATCTGAAAATTATGCAATAAAAAACACAAAACAAACCAAGTTCCTTTTTGTCTTTTTCTGAGAATCAAAGCAGCTTCTCCAGCATCCAAAAATCATGGGTCAATTCCATATAGAAGATTTTAAAATTTAAGTGCCCTCTTCCATTGTATTTTTTACATCAAAGGCTTTCCTGGCAAAAGGCATTATTTCAAATAGTAATGTATATAATGCATTGAGAAACAGACCTCATAAAGTATCATGTGTATTTTATAATTATAAAAATATTCAAAACCTGAAAAGGGATATCAATAACAAGCCAGGAAAAGATCAATAAACACATTGCAAAAATATTAAAAATCCTCATAACTATTAGTTTCCATCAAAGTATGGTCAATATAATATTAAAAAACCCCAATAAATGTCCTTCTGCTTCCCTTATAAATATCAGCATACATATATTCAGCAACAAAATATGCATTTAAAATAGACATGCACAGAACCTAAGATTCCAAAAAATTATGTCTTAAGATAACATCTTTTTGTAAAATATAAGCAAACCCTATCAATGAGAAAGCTTGGAAACACAGTATCAAAATATCCTAAAATGCTGAAATAGTATCAAAGTTCCTTATCCCGAACTGAATATACAAGCAAAGAGGATCAAGCAAACACACATATTCTTTTTTTTTATTTTAAAATAAACATTTTTTCATTCATAAAACTTTCTGTAGTTTCTGATTTACAAATACCATCAGGCTTCTATCAGGCCTTCAACTTGAAGTTTAAACTCCACAAATTCTTCAAAGAAAAAAATCCCTTGTATATAAAATGGTGCAATGCAGCAGTGGGAACAAGGTCATTTTTCACAGCACAAAACCCCTCAAAAAGCAACATTTAGCAGCTGAAACTGCATAATATACAGGGTTCCATCTGTGTAAAGGTGCTTTACTTTTTAAGTAGAGCTTGGGGCCTTTCAGTCACACCACAAGTTTCAGAAATTGTTATCAAAAAAAAAAAAAAAAAACAGGGTGTGGCATATTAGCAGTCTCAAGGTCATTTCATAAGAAAAGAATCAAAAGCACTGAAATGTATTTATTTCTATTATCAATGATGGTAAGTCAAAGCTGTCAAAAGGTTAACAGTTGCTCAGAATAATTTAAAAAAAAATAAAAGTTGAGAGATCATACCTCGATGCATGGCTGTGGACTGAACCCTCCTCTCCTTGGCTTTTTTCCGTATTTCTCAACATCTTTCAATTCTTAAAATGTTAAGGGAAAGGTAGAAGGACGGCTGGAGTCCTGTGCCCAGGTATTTACTGTCAAAAGTTGAAAGAAAGGTAAGCTCCCACTTTTGCTTCTGAGGGTTCAACAGCAAGAACAAAAAATCCCGACGCTGCGAAGCTTTCTTAGAACAATAATACAGAAGGGGGACATCAGCACGGTAAAAACAAATAAAAATATTTATCTTAAAAAAAAAAACACGCGAAGGAAACACAGCCCTGGGGAGCATCCTACAAAACTTTCCCGAAGTAACCCTGGAAGCAAGTATTCTCGGTATTTTATTGCGTCATTCCAGGATCGTTGAAAATCGGTCGAAAGGGAAAAAGAAAAAGAAAAAAAAAACCGAAAAAAGGGGGCAAAATCCCCCCTAAAAAAATGATAATCATCGCCCACCTACCTGAGCCAGGCTCCAACGCCAGCCCCAACCCGGTTTCTAGTCGTGGGAAAACATTCGCTTCCGAACGTTCCAAACGCAACGCAGGAAAAAAAAAGAAAGAAAGAAATCCGCTTTCTTTTTTTTTTAAAAAAAAATAACACATCCGAAATTAATCCATACGATCCCGCAATTGTTTAATCGCCACCGGCAATCATTAAAAGCCGTAAAGGAATATTTAAAAAAAAAAAAAAAAGGGGGAGAGGAGGAAAAAAAAAAAAGATCCGGAGGAAAAAGCTCATTAAGAGAGCGCACAAAAATGGAGGTACGCCATGGCTTCCAAGCTGGGAAAAACAACGACCTGGGCTGTTTCTTTCTACCCAGGCGAAGGGAGAGGGAAAAAAAGAGTCCCCCCCCAAAGCTCCTTTTTCTGCCCGAAAAACGCGCGATCCCCCTCGCACCGGCCTCCACAAGAGACCAGGGGCCGCAGGAGCCCCTTGAGGACGCCCAAAAGTTACACAAAGTTGCGCAAAAGTGGCGGAGAGGGGGGAAAAAAAAGGCAGGAGGCTCAGCGCGCTCTCCAAGGCACAGCCGCCATCTAGAGCTTTCTTCCCAGCTCTGAGCTCTGCCTTTGATTGACACTCTCTACATTTACCCCACAACTCAGGTGATGTACCATAGACCCACCCCTTCATTTCCACCCAAAAAAAAAAGAAAAGAAAAGAAAAAGGGAGCCTCCATCTAAAGGGAGCTTACTCCCCATCTCTACTATCTCCAGCCAACTCCCATCTGTGGAGGGGGCAACTTAACTCCATCTGGTTCAGACACCCTTTCTAAGCCAAAAGAGAAATTATTGGTTGCTTTTGTTGGAAAAGGGCTGGCTTATATTTATGCCCTTGGATTAAAATTACTTCCTCCCTGGACAGGAAGTTGTGGCACAAAAGGCCATTTTGGTGGAAGGAAAGTGGGACTTGGGGCTCCTGGATTAGCGTTGGTAGGGTACATGGGTTGGCAAGCACCCCAATGGGTAATTCCAGTAGAAGTCATCTCTTCAATGGTTCTACTTGGTTATGGCAATCTGTTGGTTCTAAGCCATTAATTGTGGGAGAATTCCAAATAGAAACAAAAGTTTTATGTATCAGCCCCTCAAAACTCAATGGCGCCTCCCTAGTGGTTCCATCTGGAAGGGGCAAAATCAGATCCATTGTGTTTAGGTCATCTGGTACCAAGGTAGTTGTTAAATAAATCCATGTCAACTGGTCTACATAAAGACCATAAACTGATCTTGGGATGTAGCTGAATTATAATGATTTTTCCGCACATGCGGAACCTCAGCGCCAAATATCAATATTAGCAAAACCGCTTCCAACTCATGAGCAAAAATAAAACAAGCATTCCATCTTCAACCATTTCCATACTTGGAAGTTTTAGGGTTTTATCATGACCCCTAATATCTGGACAAAGATATTGATCTAGAGCGAGAGACAATCAAAATGAATCACAAATTCTACTATTTATAGTAGCCATCATTTGTCATTTCTCCATATTTTTTCAGTCCAAAAAAAGGTCCAAATCACTCTAAGTGAACAATCCGATAGCAAAGTACTTAACACAGTTGCCCAATTAGAGATTTGGGAAGAGGTCAATTAATACCATTATTCATACCAGTTTTTAAAACCAAATTAGATATACAAGAAATTCCATTAGCCTAGAATTAAGCCACCAATGAAGCAAACAAACACATCAAAAGATGGCATAAATGGCCAACCATCCATTTACTTCAAAAGCATGATTACTCCTGTCAATAAAGTCAACATCACACATTCATTTTGTATTTTAGATACATTCCCATCAATATTTTTTATACATCAGTATGTCACTAAAATGAATCTTGTATGCATCAATTGGAATGGAAAGTTTAAAAGATTTTAGTAAATGTAGTAAAAATGGTAAGATTAATTTTTATGGAGAACATAAGACAACTGAATTAAAGATTTTGGCTAAGTTCTTTATCCAACTCTTAATGAACTGGAGCATCAATGTAGCAACACCATGAATGCTTTGGACACTTGTATCAACAGTAAACCAAATAGTATTGTTATATATGATCAAACCCACATACAACAACGAGGAAATCGAAGAATACAAGTATTCTGAAAAGCAGGTGTCAGTTTTTAGGTACATGAACATTAAACCAGCCTTAGAAAGGTCCAGACCACAGCGCCCATCCATAGATCCACAGAAAACACATCATTAGATTTGTACCATTCTAAGAATTGCACCAATTCACAGATGTGAACTATGCCCATCTTCATTTAACCAATATTAAGAGAACATGTAACTGACATTTACAAGCAGTAATAAGAATCATAATACAGAACTCTCTTAAATTGATAATCTTACTGAAAAGGCAAACTGAGGAATCGTTTATAAAGTTTTGAAATAGTTGGTGAAAGTATTGAACTCATTCAATAATCAAACTGTTCTTATTAATACCAACAAATCATATAAGATTGTTTCAGCCCAAAAGATGACAAACAAGAATAAATATGAAAAAAATACTTTTATTTAAATAGCAATGCACTTGAGCCAATTAAATAAGGGACAGACATTTTTATACATCCCTGTTTGCAAAATTTGATCAGCCCCTTCCAGCCCTTCACCCCCAACTGAATGCTAATCCCAAGAGCCTGGAAACACAGATTTTTTAAAAATAAAAACAATATAAAATTACAATTAGCTCAAATTTTCTGTAGATTAGACAATCGTGGTCCATGTTAAAGAATCCCTTTCTTGGAAGGGCATACTCAGCAATCATGCACTAGTTCATTTTCTGAACCTCTCAGCAGTGGAGCTGCCATCTTGATTTGGAAATCGTTGTCTCCCTTTGAGTTTCTTCCTTTCTCTGGACTCTTTATAAAAAAATTAAAAGAAAATGCTGTTGGAATGCAGGTAATTTTATCCTTAAATTTAAAATAATCAACATTTTTAACTCATATCTGAGCATATTTGAAAATATTTTCAACACATTGTAAAAAGCTAAATCAATATCAAGATTAATACTATTGAACAAGTAGTAATATTTTAACAATATTAATGTCAGTGCATTTCCCTGCTTTCTGTTGAAAGTAGAATCTAGCTTAGAAAAACTCCAAAGCAAACAGGTATGACTTCTGGAATTTCAATGGGCAACATAAAAGCAAAATGGAGGCTTCAATGTTAGAAAACATACTACTTTTGCAAGCAATGTAGCACTACTAGAGAAACCAATAGATAGCTCTCCTGCTGAAGATGTAACAGGTGTCCAAAAGAAAAGCCTAAGGAAAATTACTAAACAAGTAATGTTTTCAGAAAATAGAACTGATTGTATTCAAAGTTATCTCAGTTTATTTCTAATAGAACTGATTGTATTCAAAGTTATCTCAGTTTATTTCTAATACAAGATTCTTTTATTCTGGTTTATGTAAGCAAAAACTGAGAAAACTATTTAGACTTTTATAAAATTCCTAATAATAAATTATCTTATTCTCCCAAAGTATGACTTACCACCTGAAAGTTACATTATTTCAGGTTCAATTTTATGTGGACAAGTAGCTTAGCTTGTTTAATCAAAATGATATTGTAGCCTCATTATTTTTTGTCCCTTCTTAACCATAATTTAATTATCCCCATCTGATTTCACTCTAGGGGCAGGATCCAACAGATGAAGCAGCATCAAATATGCTTATTTGAAGGGAGGAGATTTTCTGTGGAATACCTAACAATTACTGAAGAATTTCAGCAGATCTGCCAAAATCAATGTCTAAACCTATTTCAAGTCAAAGTCAACATTTTCTTGAAATTGGGTTTCCAAAAAAAGCTTCAGAAATGAAGAAATTTCTTTCTCGCAAAGCACCAGCAAAACATATTGATCCCTAAAAACTATGAGGGATAAAACTTTAGGGAATGGTTTATTCATGATGCATTTCGAATGTAGCTATCAAATAAAAAAATGGGAAGCTAGGGATGGAGAATCCATAGTGATTGGTTCAAGAACATGTCATCCCTTGATTGATTATATCAAGAACCTCCCATTTTCTTACCACTACCCACTATTACATTGTACTGTATATGCAGCAGCATAGCATAAACTCAAGCCACCATTTTGCTGCAACCAAGTATCTTAAAGGCACCTTGGATTCCTTGCATCAACTTTAATTATTCTCCTCATCCCATGGTAATATATAAATTATTTTCAATTGTTTCAAACAAAAAAATATTGACAAAATAGATATGTTAAATTTAAATTCATCCAAGTCAAAACTATTCAGTTTTTGCAATGACTAGAAATCCAGCAAAATGTTTGATGGTAACAAAAGCAGATCAAAGGTGAAGAAGAAAAACCCCTACCTAAAAAGTAAAGTTGAGAATACTTGATGGTTTCTGTTATTATTCCAAAGACTATATAGCATATGCCAATGATTTAATAGAGTCCAACCACAAAAATATTCAACTGAAGCTGTTTTAAATATAATTATCAACAGAAATATATTACTTATATTCTATATTTGGGTACAATCCAATTGAAGGGCCTGTACCACAAATGACACTGCATCCATTCTACTTCTATGAAAACACCACAATCCAGAGATATGTTAACAAACTGGACTCTCAAATGTATCAGATACACATTAATAAACTGGACATCTCCGACATAAATAATTACAAAATTTTGAATAGTTGTCATTTTCCATTTTTAAGGTGAATTTAACTAGCATTTTCCCATAACTCAGTTGTATTAATCCAAAAGGAAATGACAGAAGTGATCATTTTCTACAAAAACAATGTACAGGTTTTTACTTTAGAAACCTCAATGGTTCAACAGATTGTATAACAAGTAATAACAGAATAAACATGTCAGGACACATTATACAAATTCATTTCTATTGAACTCCACAAGTTTTTGATTGTGTAAAATATTATTTCATAAATTATACCCTTAATACTTAAATTTTATAATTTGCCAGGTATGCTGATAATGCAATACTGAGTTAATTCCATATATTAATACTGATATAGTACTGCATCAATATTTAAAGCTTTTGTTCAATAAATGAACAATAGTATGATTGGTGATATGAGTAAAAGATTCAAAATTAATCATTTAAATGGACATCACCAGGTATTCTAAGCTGTATTTAATATGCAATTTCCTAAAAATGAGATCATCTAAATCCCAATTATTTGCTGCTTAGAAAATCTGACAATTTTAAGAATTTCAGAATTTTAATTAGCCCAAAGTAGCATTTTTAGAAACGATACTAAGGTTCAAGTTTAATTCTTATTACCACTTTTGCAAAGTACTGAGATAAACACTCATTTAGGTTCTCCCAGTAGTTGCTGAAGAATTATGGGTGTCATAGGATGTTCTTCAGTAAGGAACAGACTGAGAAATAGGCAGCAAGCAAACAAGGTTTTCCCAAAGAGATTTTATACTACTGAAACTCCTGTGTCTGCATCCTTTGACTGGGAAAAATGGTGCATTGTAGAGCAACTATTTTTGAACCAAAATACCTCAAATGGGCTAATTTACAGACTGAGTCCAAAACCTGGAACCCATGGATTGAAATTTGACAAATTTTATAAAACATTTATGACATAAAAATTATCATAAAACATTTTATTACATAATACAAAACTTTATGAAATATTTCCTTTGATCAACTCCTGTTGTTTCTTTGTGCTATACAGTTCAATATGGGCTACTTTCAAGGCAGATACAGTTTGGAAAATCTCCCAGAAATTTTAAGAATTTTTCTGGAACATTAGAAGTTCTGCCATTTTTGAAGGCATTGAGAAATCTGGTAAAGAAGTACCTCTGGAACGATAACCCAATGGGGGCAGGTGAAAGTCAAAAAGAGGAAGAAATATGGAGGAATAAGAAGAAGAAAATAAACACTGATTTGTGTTTTTAAGGATTATCTATTCCCATTTTAACAGTTCTGTTGGATGAAAGACACGGTCTTACTATTTATTAATTTAGTTTATTATATTTTGTCACTACTGTATAGATGTGTATGCACTCCAATCATGTGAATTTTTTGGTTAAGGAACCAACGTTTCTCATCTTAACCTTCACTTTTTTGTAAGCATCCCTACAAATGAACTGCTTACAAGGGAATACAGCACACATATTTTAAGATACACTTCACTCACATCAACTACCTAAGATCTGGCCAGTGCTCTATGATTGCTGGTTGTTTACCACAGTTAAAATATGACTAAAAATTCATGGTAAATATGTTTTGGGGACTGCATGCCAAAAAGTAAGACTACTGCCATATGGGACTTAATTCATATTAACATTTGTTTGTAAAATAGTGGTTATAGAATTCTGGAATAACAAATAAAAAGCATTTATGATAGAATCTCAGCATTCAAATTAATCAGAATGCAATGTGAACCTGTAACATGAAACCATTATTATCTTGGTAAGTTATTGTTTAAACCTATTTCAGTTAAACAGAAAGGGATATTTAGAAAATAAACACCTTTTACTTGAAGGTGCATATAAAATATTTCCATTTTTCATCACTGGTTTCTCTTGTCCTTTTTAATGTGTTGTCCCATAAAACTATCATACAGTCAAATTTTTTGCATTTTCAAACATTTCTAGTTCTTGTTTTGTTTGTAGCATGCTATATTAATGTGTAAAAGTCATATATCTAATTATTACATGGTTTGGATCATCCTGAGTTAGAATCTCCAACAAAATTATTAAT